CCAAAAAAAAAAAAAAAAAAAAAAAAAAAAAATAAGATTTGGTTATAACCCGATCTAAAAAGATGCCCAGCATGAAGCTCTCGACATCATCCAGAAAAGCTGTACAAGTTTCTCAATTCTCATTTATTTTTCACGGTTAAATGTTATTTCCTCGATTACCAACCGCTGGTTAGCTAGATCTAAGCAAGAAAAATGTTAGTGCATACCCAGCCTTGTCTATGCGAGGGATAAGTGCACTAAAATTATCTCCATCGTCAGCAAAAACTCAAAAAACGGATCACTCTAAAGGGGCGCAGGTTGAGTCTAAAAAACAAGACTTCACAAAAAACGTGAGGATGCAAAATGAGAAAAAAAAAAGTTAAAATTAGCCTGCAGAACTATAATATTTTTATAAAACTATAAAAAAACGTGAATAAATATTTTTATAAAAATCAGATGCGAAAAAAAACAAAGGGAAAAAACAGAGGAAAAAAGAAAAAAAACCATAATTCTAAAAAAGGAGCATAGAAAGGAGGACAGCTCTTCGCAGCTGGCTAGATGTTGAATAGGAATGCCTTCGCTCATTCTGTCGAGCTCCTCCTTTTATTTCAGTTCCCGATTCTAGACGTTCTAATTGGGTTTCCTCGTTTCAAAGTCAATCAGACACAGAAATATGAATAAAATCCAAGAAAGCGCGCCAAAGAAAACAGTAATGGAATTTCTGTGCCCCTTATTCTTATCCCCTACCTCGAGTACAGAAATTCTAGCACCAATTTTAACTGCTTACCGATAAACAGTGCCGAAGAAGTTTAACGGGGTATACAACTGCAACATGTATGTGGTGAAGAGAACATAATCACCAGCAGTGAGACTTGATTTTTGGTCCACTGATATCAGATAAGCAACGAGTAATGAGCCGATTACCAAGCCCACACCAATGGTAGCATTTTGGCTGAGATTAAGCAGCGACAGCGATGCGTTGGAACGCCATTCGGCTTGTTGAAACCTGAAAACACAGGGAAATTTTTGATTCGATAAAATTTTTAGAGTTTGTTAGATAAGATCAACACTGGAGAGGAGGATGAAGAAAGTGTATCAAACCTTACTTCTGCATGAAAATAAAAGGCAGTACGAGCCCCAAAGGTCCTGTGGGGGAATGGAAGAGGGTAGTAACCAGGGCTAGGAACAACGGCCCATTCAGCGCAGGGTATCGATTAATTCAACTATAGCCACGGCAAGGGTCGCAGCAACCCTACATGAAACTCATGAATCAGTCCTCTGAAAAGCCATACTCATTCAAAACAACAGCACAAACGGAGAACAAGTTGTCATAGAAGCAGCCTGTCAAATTAGATGGCTTGGTGGGCGAGGTTATTACTAACATTGATTTTGAAAGCTTCATTTTTAATTTCTTTTTTTTTTTTTTGCTTTATCAGTGTTGCAGTATGGAAGTGAAACATGGAATACTACACTCACACGGGAAAAATCATAAGTGACCCGAAAATCAACAAAACGATGAAATGTGCATGCCAATAAATTGCACCACGTTTTCAATGAATTGTTGCAGTTCTGGCTTAGCGCAGTGGTATTACTGGGCAATATATAAGATGAAAAAGAGCTGAACTGGCTATTAGGTAAAAGTGAGAGATAACAGATGGACAAAAGTGATTTATGGAATGGAAGCAAGGCAAATTCAAAAATAACACTGAGAACCTTGCCAATAATCCAACTGCCTATGAAAAAATTTCTATGAAGTAGACCCAAAACAGAGAAGAATGAAAAAGTTGCCAGCTTCATAGATAGTGAAAAGAGAAGTGACGATGGAACAAAAGCTGATTGCAATATATGGACGCATTAAACTCACCTACCCATAATTTTGGTGATAATATGCAAACAAAGAAGAAAAACGCAAAAAAAAGCACTTACTGTTTCACAGAATTTGCAAACCGATTCACTTCTAACTCTTCGGCATTGTAATATTTCACTGTCTCATAATTCAATAACGAATCGACACCGATCGAACGTGAAAAATTCTCTTTATCATTCATTTCACGGCGAAATTTTGTCCGCCATTCGGTTATAGTTATTGTTAGTACTAAAAGAATTGATAATATATTTTATAAAAGTAATCCACTCATTTTGTCTACTAAATGAAAAACGACTAATACGTTCCCCACCCCTCCACTCCCACAGTTTATGAGCAATGAGTTCGAACTGACAAAATACGATGATGCACTTTAATTTGATTCAAGCGTAGGCCGACAATTAGCTCGTTTAATTCGTTAGGAGCTACACCTACTTGGACAAATGGGCAAAAAACTGGGCATGAAGCCCAGCAAAACGAAAAAAGCAGGATTATAATTCTCCACATACCAAAAAGATGTCTTTTTTAACGACAGCATCGTTGTGAAGGTGATACTTTTTAATCCTGTGCGTTACAATTTCCCGCAAAAAGTGACTACTTCGATAGTAGCTTCCAAACAGATGGTTCGCGATGTATTAGTACAGAAAAGTGCAAAAATTTCGAAGATGAGCAGACAATAACAACGGAGCTTGCCATGTGGGTGCAGCTCTGCATCACTGGTATTCAAAAAAGCCAGTTTGGGTGAGTGCACAATTTTCAGTATGGCCGAAAGTTCAGTCGAAATTAGGGTAAAGAAAAGCCCCAGGAAAAGCGAAGAGAAAAAAAAAACAGCACTAACCGAGATAGACGGTCATTGCAAAAAGTACAAGCAAGCCAAAATACACGTTGAATGTGACAAAAAAGAAAATAATGGCAATTATAATATCCAAAATTGTCGGTAAAATATTAAATACAAAATAACTGAAATACACACAAAATCAGTAATATTGAATAAAAAATACAGTACACTTAAAGAAGTTTTGAGAGAAAATACAAAGAATAAAAACTAGTTGTTCGCCAGAATGCTCCTCTTCGGCAAAACAACAGATCGTCCTGGTTCTTTCTGTCGTCTTCCTCTTTTCTCTTCCTTTTCCATCAAACACTGCGACCGTCACACTGACAAGGTCCTGTTGCGTGGTGTTGAGTTAAGGCGTATATGACTTAATGGACCGAAACGTCTTATCCCCTTCTCCTGCGACTTCGCCATTTAGGTGTCCAGGGTCAACCTGATTGCTAAAATCTGCTTATCATAGTTCAGGAACAGCAACCTTCTGGGCGAGGTAGTAATGCCCAACATATATTAAAGGTATATCGAAATGGCTAAAACCTCACCAACCGCTTCCGATGAGAAGCCATTTGCCTACCAACCACTTCCGGAGAAGCTGGCAAGAAGGGGAAATAGTGTTCAAAGCAACAAGAAAATTACCAAATCATCAAATGACGAACCAGAATATGAATTAACAGTTATTTCAGGTAATTCTAGTACCCATTAAGCAGACTGCAGCAACCAGGCTGACCCTGGATATTAAAATGACTGGAAAATCGGTAAAAACTGAATTATGTTTAAAATAACAAAACAGGTTAAGAAAAGGGTGTTCGAATACATTTGAGATAAAAACTATGAATAATTAAAAAAAGCTATGACTTTTAGAAAATAAGAGGTTTTAAAAGCTTTTTTTTCATTAAATTTGTAGTGAAAATTATGGGTTACAAATTGAGTAGCGCATATTTTGACAAAAATTATTAATATCTATTACTTACTTGAATACATGAGCAGCAGTATCTCATCGACGTCCATTGCCACGTCATTTATGCAGCTGGCAACTTCTCCATTCGATTCGCTGCTGCGCTCTCTGAGTCCACGCGATACCGTACAGGCGCATTATGGGGGTCTCTTCACCTCACTAATGACCTCCCCAGTGTTCGCTTGACTATGCGCGTGTACAGCGAGCAAAAGATGGCGCGCAGGAGAAGCAAGGAGCAATCCAGAATCGCGCAGCAGTTTGACCCGTGATCTGTCCCGTCCTCTGTGATGAGTATTTAAGCTTGTGAATTTGTTGTAAGATTCAGTGTATGTTCAGTATCGTCATCGAGTGTGTCCTCCGTGTTTTGGTCGTGTATCCAGCATTCGTCGTCGGCATCAAGCGGTCCAGTGCAGCAGTGTGGTGCTGCAATCCAGTCACTAGCATACTTCGTCCGCAGCGGCTGTTGCTGCAAGCGCCCGATTTAATTTCCATCGCCCCAACGAATCACTTGTAATCTTGTATCAGTAATGATAAAGTTTGTTTGTTCACTCCAGTCTGTCCACTACGCGCCACAGTACATCAGCATTCATCCAATTTCCCGTCCGAAGCTCGTCGTAACAGCATCGTCGACGTCGTCGCCCTCGTAACACGCGGATACCACTCCATTATTCGCTTCGTCCATCCATTATCTGACATCCGTGCCACATGACCAGCCAAGTTCTTTTTTCTGGTGTACATTGCTTCGATAATATGTTTCACGCCATGTCTGGCTCGTAATACTTCATTTGGAATGCGCTGTAGTCTGTTGGTGCCAATCATCCGTCGCTCCACTGCTCTTTGAGAGATTGCCAATTTTCATGCGTCAGCAAGCGTGGTGTTCCACGTCTCACACCCATATAACGTGGCTGGGTAGGACGGTCGAATTGTAAACTGCTGCTTTTGCAAATGAAGTAATCTTTTTGTAGATCTTTTTTTTTCATTATGGAATGTAAATAATGTGTTGCACACTCTGGCCATGTTCGTTACAGAAGATGTAATAATGATAACTGTTCATTAGAAAATTAAGGAATCTAGGAAATAAAACTTCCGTAAGTAAACTGCAATGGTTTTGTTTTCGGGAAAAATACGAAATTCTTACCGACCGGTGTCGTTTCTGATGTTATATATTTTTAAAGAGAATTTAGATTTAAACTGACTTAAGTATGCTGTCAATGGAGGATGTACCGCGATCCAATATCCGTAACACTTGACCGGTTTTTCTTGATAAATGCCAACGCAACGATAGTTTATGTAAATAATCGAAGAGTTCAACCTAAAACTATCATAGACGTGTGGAAATTGTCCGCAATGATAAGTTGGATACTTCAGTCCCTCTGAAAATTTTCATTCTTCTTCGTCCTCTTTCTCTTCTTTTGTCTTTTCCTCATTTTTTGTATACAGCTAAGGGATGAAACACACAGAGACTGCGTCATAAAATGTCTTCAAACACATGACGATCAAGTGAAATTCTTCTATTCTTCTATTTCTACTTCGTTTTTAAATTCACGACGGCCAGCAGTGATCTATACTCGACGAGGGAACTTAAATTACTTATTAGAACTGGCAACTTTTCTAGCTGCTTTAGCTAATGCTGCATCGAAGGTCTGTGGCCCTGATATTTGGTTTTACTTCTGAAAGATTACCAGCTCAATGATTCGCCCGACACAAACTTTATTCACCCCGAAATATCCTTGCTACACGCTGAAAGCAGCATTTTTTCTCAAACGGCGCTTTTATCACAAATTTTCTTGTAAATTACTTGTATTTCATAAGTAGTATATTGCTGTATTGGGATCCACAAGAACGACCGAAGCGTGTTCAAGAAGCCGCCCATTCCTGAAATTTATTTTTAATTAAGAACTTCTTTTTTTTGAAGTAATAAAGATTACAGCGATAAACAGAGTAATAGTGGGGGCAATAAAAATATTAGCACTAACACTAATAATAATATTAGCACTTTATTACTTCCTTTTACATCTTTCCCTTTTTTACTCTTTTTTGGTCTTTTTATCATCCATTTTTACATTTTCTAACAAAATTTTCAATTAACCTTAAATAATAACAATGTTAATAAGAGCAAGATTAAAATTACACAAAAGCAGAAAGAAACGTGAGAAAACTACGGCTAAATAATCAGCTTTTTACAGCAAAATAAAGAATGTTAGATTGTACATCCAGAAAAAAGAAAAAAAAAAAAAAAAAAAAAAAAAAAAAAA